GGAGGGTGATGACAGGATTGCTGTGTGCAAAGCCCCTTCCCGGAGGCTGGGCCCAGGCCCATCCCAGCCACGAGGGCAGCTGAGTCTGAGCTTCTGCCTCACACGCTGCCCGCAGGTGTCCACATGCCTGTGGCCCTGGCTGTGCATGGCCCCCAGGCTCCTCCTCACACTCTGCACCCCACCCCCCCCCGAGCCCGGTCCACCCGCCCTCGGAGATGCCGACCTGAGGGACAGGAACTGACTTCCTAGTAAGGGGACTGAGCTCTGAGGAGGACCTAGTGTGGCTGCCCAGCTTCCTGAGCTGGGTGTGGGGAGGGGGCTCACACAGTCAGGCCGCAGGCTCTGCTGGCACTTTCACCAGCATGACTGCCACCCTCCCACAGCCCAGGGGCAGGAAGCAGCACCCCTTGCTCAGCTGGGGAAACTGAGGATCAGAGACGCAGAGGGACTTGCCCAGGGACACTCAGCTGGCAGTGGCCGCATGGGGTCTTCTCTGTCTTGTCTCCTCCTCATCCCCTTTCCTCCCTCCCTCCCTGCCTTGCTCACCTCTCTCTGCTCCTCAGTGTCCGGCCCAGGGCACCTCTGCTTCATGATTAGAGAATTTTTCAGCTTTTCTGTGTCTCTGTGTCTGACCTCAGCGAATGAGAAACCTCCTGCAGCCCTCACCCCAGGCGGCCCAACCTGAGGCCAGGGTTCAGCTGCCCTTTGCCCCATTCCATGCCGGTGCCCAGCAGCCCACACGCACCCTGGACACTTCTCCTGATTCACCTCCTCCTCCACCTCCCGCCTATGATTCTGTCCAGGGCACCCAGTCCTGGATTTTGTGACCCACAGTTTCCTGACAAGGTTCCTGCCTCCTGTCCCTTCACCTCCACATCCAGTCCCCCAGGACCCCCGGTGTCCTACCCACATGTCCCATCTGTCCATGACCCTCCTCTAGCCTCAGGGCACAGGCATGTCCCTGGGCAGCCACAGCCCCTCCAGACCCTTCTCCACCCTCCTCGCCCTCCCTGCCCTCGGCCTCCCGGGCTGGCTGAAGGCCTTGCCTTTCCCACCGCACAGCTCCCTCTGGCCTCTGCTCCTCTGCACCCCTCTTCTCCTGCCCCCAGCCCCTGCCCCACGCCCTCCCTCTCTGCTCCCCCCCAGACAGACCCCTCCTCTGAGGAGCTGCCCTGAAGGCCCAGCCTGGCTCAGCTGCCACACTCAGGGTCCCCAGCCCCCGGGACCCCCACCTCTCCCCACGTGATCATGCTCTGCTGTGGTCCCTGTGCCTGTCTCACCCCCTTTGGGCTTGAAGCTCCATCAGGGGGATCCTGTGCGCTCGGCCCCCCTCCCTGCATCTCCTGGGTCCTGAGAGGGGCCTGGTTTGGAACAGGAGGGAAGGACTTGTGGGAGCAGGAGGGCTGGAGGGCCAGGGGGCCAGGGCTCAGGCCAGGCAGGTCCAGAGTTGGTGTCCTTCTGGGGGAGAACAAGGGCATTTCTCACTCTGAAGGGAAATGTTGGATTCAGGTGAGGCCTGGGCACTGTCCCAGGAGCAGGGCAGTGAGCTGGGGCCTGGTCTGGGGGAGGCAGTGGTTCCCAGGAGCAGTGAAGCAGGTAGACTGAGGTCTGGAGGGTGCAGGCGCCTTCCCGGAATCACCCCACTTTCTGTAAGAGCCCCGGCCACCTGGCTGCTTTCCCTGCACACCAGGCGCTGGGCTGGCCCCCCCCCCCCCCGGGACCCTGTGTGAGTCTGGACACCAGGGCTATTGGGGGCGGGGAGCTGTCCCCATTTGACCCTGAGAATGGAATGCACAGCATCATGCAGACACTTGCCTGGGAGGAAGGAGGAGCGAGAACAGAGGGGCTGGGGAGGCATGAACCCCAGCAGCAGCTGAGCACCACAGCTACATGTCCTGCAGGCACAGGCCCCCGGAGAGGATTGATCTGGGTCAGGTCGGCATTGGTGCTGAGGTGGAAAGTCTCTGCCCAGAAGCCCTCACTCAGATCACAGAAGGGGAGGCCAAGCTGATGAGTCCATAACTGGGGTGAAATGGAAACAAGAAACACTAAATTAAGATAAAAAGCAGAAGTAGAAAAAGTAGGGAATAGAGAAATCTTAGGACAAATAGAAAACAACATGTTTCTAAATAACCCCTGTGAGAACCAATCCTGAAACCCTAAAAAAAGTGTTAAATTGAGGTGAGTAAATTAATACACACAAATAAATAGACAATAGATTAAAATCCATGGGATGCAGGGACAGCAGCAGTGAACGGGAAATGTGTACCGTAAATGCTCCCATGGGGGAAGAGGAAGTCTCCAATTACTATCCCAGCTCCACCTCAAGAAACAGGAAAGGGGAGGAGAAATCCAAGGCCAGTGCAAGGAAGGAAATAACAGAGCCCAGAAGCCAGTGAAACTGAAAACACTGACAGAACAGAGGAAATCGAACAAACAAACGCTGGGTCTTTGAAAACATCGATTATGTCAACAAACTCTTTAAAAGATGACAAAGGAACAGAGAGAAGACGCTGATTACCAGGATTGGGACGGGAAGCGGGGCTGTTACTACAGAGCCTGCGGGCACCGGGGCTCCCAGGGATCCTGTGCACAGCGTTACTCACACTTGACATTCAGGGTGAAATGGGCCAATTGCTTGAAAAAGCACAACGTACACACCTCAGGGAGAACAGAGACCTCACCTCTCTTCAGGGTGTTTCAGTGCAAGGAACCGCTCAGGTGCTGGTCGCACCCACAGCGGAGGCCTTGAGGGGGATGAAGTCAGGAAGTTGGGTGGGAGCCACACTGAGCCAGTGCAACCAGGACACGAGCGTCAGAAGTGTTTGTCTTCCTGGGCTGGGTCAGAGGGAAAACGAAACTCTTGATCATAGAAGGCTGGGCCCCGAGGCAGCAGCACAGACACAGCTGCACAGAAGGATGGCTCCGGTAAGTCCCCAGAAAGCTTTTATTTCAAACACCGCAATTCTGTTAGTGGTGATGATGTGGGTCTCCTTGCTGGGCTGCAGCTCTGGCACCGAGGGGCACGGGCGCCTGCTGAGGCCTGAGGGTCCGCTACCCGGGGCGGGAGGGCTCCCCAGAGCCTTCTTGAGGAGGCAGGAATGGTGGGCTCAGGGGGGGGCAGCCTCTGCCCACTGCCCAGTCCCACCTCCTCAGTCACACTGTCCTGCGTGGCTGCGATGAGCTCGGGAGGGAGGGACGGGAAAATGGCTCCCAGCGGTGTGGGGCCGAGGCAGGGACTGCAGGAAGGGTTCTTATCCATCCTTCACCTCCAAGAAGCTCACCCGTTCCCTCTGCTTTTCTTTCCATCCCTCTCTTCCCCTTCCATGTGCTGCTCCTTCCTTCTGGCTGCGTAACAGTCACATTTCCAAATGCTCGCTGCATCCTGACACCATGCAAAAGGCTTTTATTTAATCTCTGCTTCAAGTGTGTCATCACATTTTCCGTGAAAATATATAATAGATATAAAACCCCCCCCCCCCCCCCCCCCAACATAAGTGAGAAACACCCAGGAGAGGGTTAGTAGCCAGAGAGTTCCTCCCCCCCCCCGCCCCCCCCCCCCCCAGCCACACACAGTCCCTCCTCTGTGTGGCTCTGTACGTGTCCTGCCAGGTGTTTTCTAGTCCTTTGCATACAGAAGTGTATCCACCTTTTAAGTGTTGTTTTGTGGCTTTGGGTTTTGCTGTCATTCTTAACTTGGTTGTCTGAGTGCAGTTCACTTAGGAAATGCTTGAATCTTTTCCTTTATTTACCAGCTTTTGAAATAATATGGTGATTCTTTTGTATCCTCCAAAGGTAACCAATGCATTTCTAAAAATGTCATTATGAACACACTAGACCCTGGTGCATGAATTCGTGCACCAGTTGGGTCCCTTGGCCTTCCCTGCGGGATCAGGACAAAACTGGCTCTCCGACATCCCCCGAGGGGTCCCGGATTGTGAGAGGATGCAGGCCAGGCTGAGGGACCCACTGGTACACAATTGGGGCCAGGAAGGGATGTGGTCAGTTCGCCAGCTGGGGAGGGACCATTCGAGGGCTCCAGGGTGTGTCTGGCTTCTCTCCCTGAGTCCCCAAGAGCCAGACCCCAGCAGCAAGCTTACCTACCAGTTGAAGCATCTTCCCCCTGGTGGTCAGTGCATGTCATAGGGACTGGTCTACCATTCGACTGTCTGCCCCTTGGTGATCAGTGCATGTCATAGCGAGCAGTTGAGGGGCCTTCGCATATCATTAACATATTAGGCTTTGATTGGTTGAAGGGATGACTGGACAGCCAGACACTTAGCATATTAGGCTTTTATTATATAGGATTGATATCATTATTCACATATCTGATGTGTTTCTTTTTGATGCTCAAATTGTTCCATCTTTGGTCAAGTAGACCCATGATGCCTGTAGTCAAAAGCTTTTCTCTCAACCATGTCTCCCTAGCAAATTTCCAGTTGGCATCCAACCTCATTTCACCCAGCAACAGCCACCCACCCTGGTCACGATGGTCGGGCCCTTGTGATCCCGCTCAGCTGAGTCAGGGAAGGAGAGGTGATGGCTGATCTCAGAGAGATCCTAAAATAGAACTTTTGTGATAAGGGCATGTCTCACATTCCTAGTGGGATGAGGGCAACATACTTCCTGCTCATGCAAACTGCAGATGCCCACTGCCCTGCCACCAACTCCAGTCACACCATGGGGTCCCCAGCTGGGTCTTGGCCTGGTGCCCAGACTTCAGCTGCCCCCGCCTTCCTGGGATGCTCTGGGATTGTTAAGGGTGCAGCGTTGGTAACACGCAGACCTAGGTTTCTATCTTTCTCTCTATTCACTAGGTAAGGATCTTTGCATGTTACCTAACCATCCTGAGACTCAGTCTTCTCATCTGTCAAATGGGGTAATGATAGTTTGTAGTCAAATGAGTGATGGATCTCAAATGTGGGCCCTGTTGAGCACCGTGTCTGGCTGTGCAGGTCGGGGCTCTATCACTCAGAATCACTCAGGCCCGGCCCAAGGTGGGCAGCCCTTGATGAGGCATTTGAGACTTCCTGGGAGTTATATACTCACTCACTGACACCATCATGCTCTGGCATAAGATGTGCTCATGCCCATGTCTGCACACCTATCGGCCACACTCCCGTGCTGCACACCTGCCCACACCTCCCCTCCAGACACCCTGTCCATCTCTTCTTTGTCCCCTGAAAAGCTCACTTCCAGCTCAGCAGCCCCAGTAAAGGAGGGACTTCCCATCTGTGCGAGGAGAGCGCCATCTTCCATTTCCTGCAGGAGATGCTCAGAGGGAGCTTGCAGGCTGGGCTGGGGCTCCTTACAGGTCAGGTTCTAGAATGTTCCCTGTGAGGACTAACCTCAGCCTGTCTCTGGTTTTTCAGTCACAGGACGAACCGAAACCTGGAGACCTGATTGAGATTTTCCGCAAATGCTACCAGCACTGGGCCCTCTACGTGGGGGACGGCTACGTGGTGCACCTGACGTCTACAGGTGAGGCTGGTTCTCCGCTGAAGCTCAGGGCAGAGGTGGGAGTGTTAGCGGCTGCACACTTGTGCTGTTCTCACCCAGTGCCTGGATGGTGGGCACTCCCTGGCCATTGGCTGCATGATGTTCCCTGGTAGGTCTGCAGCCGCTCTTCTTCCTCAGCAGCGAGTTCGTGGAGGACGGACTGCTGGCCTTTGTTCCAGGTGATAATGGGGCTCACTTCCAGCCAGCCCACTGTCCCAGGGAAGCACCCTTTGTGTGTGCTCCATGTTCTGGGGGCAGATGAGTAGGACACAGTGTACAGCTGGCTGAGAGGCATGGAAGGCGTGTGGGCCTCCCACTTAGCAGCACCCGTTTGGGGTCCTGGGGCCTCTGCTTGCCGAGCTGGTACTTGCCTTTGTGACTTGCCCCCTGAACTCAGCTGCACCCTCTGTAGAGCAATGAGAACCCCACCTCCCGGTCGTGCAGGGTGGGATGCAGGACAGCACGGGGGAGCTGGGCAGGGCCTAGCAGGTGCTGGGCCAACCTCCCTTCCCTCCCAGAGCTTCGTGGCATTAAAGCAAAGGCCGAAAGCCTGGGAACCACCAACAGCAGGGAACTGGCCAAATAAAATCGGTGCCTGCATTTCATGGCTGATGGTGCAACCATTACAAACAGCTGTACAGCAGGTGTGTGCATAAACATGTGAATTTTAAAGCCAAATGCAGGCTTTAAAAAATTAGGCTTATTGGGGAATAACTTACTGTTTTATTTTTTTTGTTAATCCTCATCTGAGGATATTTTTTCAATTGATTTTTAGAGAAGGAAGAGAGAGAGGGAGAGAATCATCAATGTGAGGAACATGTCGCCCTCTCGGTATACAAGATGATGCTTCCAATCAACTGAGCCCCATTGGCGGGGGTCAAAAGCCCTTTTAACAAGAAAAATAAGAACTGGTGAACTAAAGGGTACACACACACACACACACACACACACACAGCCAGTGAATGCAGAAGCTGGTCATTGGATGAACTGGCTGTTCAGAGGGTTGACGTCATACCAACAGGCTTTCTGTGAGCCCAGCTCCATCCGGCAGGGTCCACTGGCCCCTCCCTGAGGGGTTCCAGGGCCCATCACTCACCTTCTCCTGTCAGCTTTCCCAGAAGCCCTGGGTGAGGCAGGAGGCGGGCGTCCTGTTAGGGGCCAATCTGAGAATTCAGAGCTGGGAGAGGGTGGCCACCAGGTGACCCAGGCCCTTCCATCTGTAAGTGATGAAAGCCCCTGAGAGGAGAAGGGACGGCCTGAGGCCACACGGTGGGTGGGGCTCTGGGTTGGCAGGTCAGGCCTGGGCTTGCTCAGCAGCCTCCTTTCCTACTATGGAAAACATGTCACCCTGGCCGCTGAGGGTCCCCACCCCGCTCTGGCTGGGGCTGCACCTGGGGTCTGTGCCCTGTACCCTCTGCCCCTCCTGCATCTTTCAGGGACATCTGCACCCACAGGGGCCTTTAGAAGAATCCACATCCTTGGCTTTAGAAATGAGGGAGCCAGAGTCCAGGGGCATCTGTGACTTCTCCAAGGCCACCCAGGCGGGGGTCGGCCTGTGTTTGAGTTTGAAGCCAGGCAGGGGGCCGGCCTTTCCCCAGCTCATCCTCACTGATGAAGCCCAGGGCAGTGGGGCTGCCTGTTTGCCCGCTCTCAGCCCCGACCATCGGCCTCTTTCCTCTTTGGGAACCACAGGTGACATCATGGGAGCTGTGTCGGCCAACATCATGTCCTCCGGGTCTGGGAGGGCCATAGTGAAGAAGGAGCTGCTGAAGAAGGTGGCCGGGAAATGCATGTACCGTGTCAATAACAAGCATGACCGGAAGTACTCCCCGCTGCCTCCCAGCGATATTGTGTGTCGGGCGGAGGAGCTGGTGGGGCAGGAGATGCTCTACAAGCTGACCAGCGACAACTGTGAGCACTTCGTGAACGAGCTGCGCTACGGAGTCCACCGCAGTGACCAGGTGCGTCCTCAGCCCGTGTCCCTGTTCCCAGGAACCAGACCATTCCCTCTGCTGACAGTGGTTGGGCATCATGGGGGCGGCCGGGGTGGAGGCATGAAGGTCACAAAATAGCAGGGACAGAATCCCTGCCCTCGAGGGAGTGACAGTCGGGGTAGGGATGAGAATGGGGAGAAGTGCCAGTCGCTGTGCAGACCATGAGGTTAGGGGGTGATGTCGCAGCCATGACAGTCACCCCTGGCCCCTCCCATAGCTCCAGAGGAGGGTTTACAGATGGGGAAACTGAGGGTCACGGTGCTTTACTCGCTCACCCAAACTCATTCCAGCACTAGGCCTTGAGTCTCTAGCACCTGACAGTCAAGTGCAGAGGTGGGATTTGAACCCAGGTGCCTGATCCAAGAAGGCATCACAGAAGAGGCAGCATTCGAGCTGAATCTGATTTCTTTTTTAAAAGAAATCTATTTCATTGATTTCAGAGAGGAAGGAAAGGGATAGAGAGTTAGAAACATCGATGAGAGAGAAACATTGATCAGCTGCCTCCAGCACACCCCTACTGGGGATGTGCCTGCAACCAAGGTACATGCCCTTGACCGGAATCGAACCTGGGACCCTTAGTCTGCAGGCCTTCCTCAATCATGTGATCAGGCCTGGCAGTGAGCTGGCTTTGGCCCTTGTGCCATAGTTTGCTGACTCCTGGTCTCAGATAATTTGAAAAACCACATGCCCCTCACACATTCTTAGCTGACATTAAACATTTAAAGTTTATAGATACTAAAGAGGTGCAGAGGATGGCATTTTTGTTAGGTGGTACATATGTGTCTATTTTCTTCACATCCTTGGCGTTGCACAGTTAGCTCACGCAGTTAATGGAAAATGCCTGCATGTCATTTAAATAGTCAGAGCAGGCGTTACTGCCAACCAATCAGCCAAAGCCGACCTAATCTCATTCATTTATTTATATTTATTTATTGTTAGTCCTCATCCAAGGATATTTTTCCATTGACTTTTAGATAGAGTGGAAGGGAGGGGAGAGACACACAGAGAGAAACATTGATGGGAGAGACATATTGATTGGTTGCCTCCCACCTGAGCCCCATCCAGGGCCGGGGATGAGCCTGTAACTGAGGTACATGCCCTTGACTTGAATCGAACCTGGAACCCTTCTTTCCACTGTATCCACTGAGGCCAAACCAGCTAGGGCCAGACTTCACTTCTTTTAGGAAAAAAGCTGGATTCCCCTTCCCCACAACTCAAATGAATACATTACAGCACGTTTCCATGGCAACTGTCTGGGGTGGGAATTCCCATCTACAGTAACAGAGGTGGAGGGAGCCTCCCAGGGGGGATGTGGTCTCCTGGTTCTTCCCACGGCCGGTCTGTCTGGAAGCAGTGGGTGCCCCATCCTCGCTGGAACCTTACGCCTCGTCCAAGGCCGTAGATCCCGGTCGGTGAGGAAGACGCTCCTCTTCTGTGAGGGGAGAAGGGCTGTGGTGAAAGGGGAGGGGCAGGCAACCCACTGGGAACTGCCCCCTGGTGCCCGCGGGGACCCTGCTGTGGGGTCTCCCTCCTTTGAGCTGAGGTGGGAGGCGTGGCAGCCTGCGGGTCCGGCTGCCCATTATGCATCTGTGCTGAACCCCCGAGGGCCAATCTGGGTAACCCCAACTTTTCAGGGGTGGTTGGCCGCCTGCTGTGCTCCCGAGGGACTGGGGGGAGGTCTCTTCCCCTGAGCAGCTGGTCCCTGGCGCTTCACTTCTCAGCTTCCATGGCTGGTAACTCGGCCTTGCCTGTCTGTCTCCCTCTTACTCCTTCCTGCTCCCTGACTCTGTGTCTACAGAGACTCCTTTCGGCTCCCTCCAACTCCCTCCGTAGCGAGTGGGCGCCCCTAGGCCGGCCCCAGCCCCTGAAATGCCTGCGGGAGAAGCGGAAGGCTGCCAGGAGAAGGGACTGTCCAGCCAACATCTGAGCCGGGCCCTGAGCGCCTCTCAGAGCGCTTACTGACAGGGGCTGCCCCTGGGAACCCCCTCTGCCCCCGGGACCGGCATGTGTGGCCTGCAGCTCAGGAGTGTGGCTCTCAAGGACCTGGGCGCTTATTGGTCCTTGAGCACTCAAGGTCCAGTCATTGGAAATGTCGTGGTCCATCCTGGCTGTGTAGCTCCGCTGGTTGGGCATCACCCTCCGCACCAGGAGGTCGCCAGTTCAGTTCCTGGTCAGACACACGCCTGGGTTTCGGGCTTGACCCCGCAGGGGTGTGAGCAGGAGGCAGCCCATTGATGTGCTCTCACATGGATGCTTCTCTCTCTCCCTTCCTTTCTCTCTCAGAATCAATAAACTATTCTTAACAGAAAATATATAGAGATGCAGGGTCAGGAGGGCCGGGCCTCTGCCTCCACTCCCGTGGGAGCCTGGGAGCCTGGCTCCATCCGTCCAGCGGGCTGACACCGGGCCCAACCGCACTGATGCTCACCGGCCCTTTGCAAATTCTCCTTACTCGGACTCCTGAGCCCCCGCGTGTCCCCCTCCGTTGCGCACCCTTTGAAACACCAGTCACCGCTGTGCCAGTCAGGGTGGAGCTGAGGAAAGTGTGTTCATCGCCGACACGTGGGAGCGAGTCTGAGTGTCTCTGAATGAAGTGGGCGGTGCGGCTCTTCCTTCCCCAGCCGCTCACGTGGCGCCCAGTCACGGTCTTCCACAGAAACCTGCCATGTGCTCTGTGCTGAGCATTTTTCCTTCCGGCGGAGGAGGCTTAGGTGGGCTTGTTAGGACACCAGGCGTCCTGGTCCCTGGCACTGGGTGTGGGGTGGCTTTGGGGAGTTCTTTCCACTGTCCCTCCTCAGTCCTCTCCTCTGTACAGTGGGCATCTAACACGGGTATCAGTAGGTTTGGGGGCAGATTGAGACAATTGAGAGCCTGGGGAGTCCCGCCCAGTGTTGACGCCTGGAAAGCAGCCACTTTCAGGGTCTTCGCCCGCTTCCCCAGCACAGCGGTGTGGGCAGGGGTGGCTCACACGGCGTTGCCGAGTGCACGACCCTCAGGGACCATCCTGACGTCTCCACCGCCTCATCCCTGCTGTCCGAGTGTCCGCTTCCTTGTCCAGAACCCTCCCCGGTCAGCACAGAAGCAGGTGATCTCGCTCCAGAAGCTGCTGCCCAGTCACATCATGGGATCAGCAGCTCCTCCACCAGCGCCCACGCAATGCCTGGGCCGGGCTCAGCTCCTGGGCCGGGCTCAGCTCCTGGGCCGCCCAGAACCATCCTGGCCCAGCCCCGGGTCGTGAGAGCTCACAGGGGGGTTTCCCCATTTCTGCACGTGCTTCAGGCTCCCAGTGGCCAGCCCTCACCTAGACCGTCCGGGCACTGTCTGTGTCCTTCCCACGGCACCCCCTGCGGCTTTCTGAGCCTTTCAGCACCTACAGGGGCGCTGTCTCCCTCACACCCACAGCTCCTTCCCCCACCCGTTCTCTCCCCGCCTCTTCCCCACCCTCCTGGTGGCCTGTTGACCTGCAAACAACCGCTCCTTCTGTGGTTCCGTTGGCGGGGACCCGGGTCTCTCCTGAGTGAAGATTCTATGTTGATGTGTCTGTGGCCAGGCCCCTGACATGGAGTGTGACACCTCATCTCTTGTGCTGCAGGTCACCAAAGCGCTCCGGGATACCGCGTGGCAGTCGCCGTGATGTCATTCAGCACGGCAGTGGGCACGGCAGTCGGAGTGGCACTCGGCGCGCCAGTTGTTGCGGTAGCTGCCATGTCAGCAAACGTCTTCCTTGTGAGGGGCATGAATGTGATGCTGGGCTACATCCTGCACGCTTCCTACTGTGGATCGAGCCTCCGGTAATTGAACCAGAGACCCCTTGGTTCTTGGATCAACACTCAACCACTGATCCACATCAGCCAGGCCATTCAGGCTGCTTTTCATGGAGCTATAAAAGCACAGGAAGACTTAATTGGGGAAATACGGCTGGTGTGAATGCTATTAAAGACACAGTTGGGCTCTGTCATGTACTGAATGCTTGTGTCCCCCTCGCCATACCCCACCCACCCCGTTCACGTTGCAGCCCTAACCCCCAATGTGATGGTGTTTGGAGCTGGGCCTCTGGGAGGTCATTAGGCTCAGAGGAGGTCATGAGGTGGTGGCGAGGGTGCGGGGTGGGCCTGGTCTGGGGGAGGCAGTGGTTCCCAGGAGCAGTGAAGCAGGTGGACTGAGCTCTGGAGGGTGTAGTCGCCTTCCCGGAATCGCCCCACTTCCTGAAAGAGCCCCGCCCAGCTGGCTGCTTTTCCCTGGACACCACGAGATGGACTGGCCCTTCCCGGGATCCTGTGTGGTCAGGACAGCAGGGCTATTGGGGGCGGGGAGCTGTCCCTGTCTGACCCTGAGTTGGAATGTGCGGCATCAGGCAGATACTTGCCTGGGAGGAAAGAAGAGTGAGAGCAGAGGGGCTTCGGAGGCACCGAACTCCAGCAGCAGCTGAGGCCCACGGCTACATGTCCTGCAGGCACAGGCCCCAGCAAGGATTGATCTGGCTCAGGATGGCGTTGGTGCTGAGGTGGAGAGTCTCTGCCCTGAAGCCCTCACTCAGATCACAGAAGAGGAGGCCAAGCTGATGAGTCCATAACTGGGGTGAAATGGAAACAAGAAACACTCAATTAAGATAAAAAGCAGAAGTAGAAAAAGAAGGGAATAGAGAAATCTTAGGACAAGTAGAAAACAACCTAGAAAACAACATGTTTCTAAATAACCGCTGTGAGAACCAATCCTGAACCCTAAAAAAAGTGTTAAATTGAGGTGAGTAAGTTAATACACACAAATAAATATACAATAGATAAAAATCCATGGGATGCAGGAACAGCAGCAGTGACCTGGAAATGTGCAATGTAAATGCTCCCATTGGAGAAGAGGAAGTCTCCAATTACTATCCCTGCTCCATCTCAAGAAACAGGAAAGGGGAGGAGAAAACCAAGGCCAGTGCAAGGAAGGAAATAACAGAGCGCAGAAGCCAGTGAAACTGAAAACACAGACAGAACAGAGAAAATCGAACAAACAAACGCTGGGTCTTTGAAAACATTGATTATGTCAACAAACTCTTTAAAAGATGACAAAGGAAAAGAGAGAAGACGCTATAACCAGGGTTGGGACGGGAAGCGGGGCTGTT